ATGATTTTACTTATAGATATGCACAAATATGACAACTATGAGAATAGATATGTTTTAAGGAAATCGGGCGGCTGTGGCTCAGGTGGTAGAGCGAGTTGTCCTCTAATCAAAAGGTTGGCTTCCACAAGTCGAAGCGTCCTTGGGCAAGGCACTGAACCCGAAGTTGCTCCCAATGGCAGGCAGCACGTTGAATGGCAGCTCCGTCGCCACTGGTGTATGAATGTGTGTGTGAATGAGAAACACATTGTAAAGCGCTAGAAAGTCCATGCCATTTACCGTTTATACAAGTGCATACGATTTGAATATTTATCAGGTGTTTGCATGTTGTCTCCGCAGAAAAGGTCCAGGAAGTAAAGAAGAACTTTCTCCAAGAGTCCGGGATCCAGTTCAGTGAGTTGGAGGAGAAAGTGCTTCAGTTTCATCTCAGCAACCTGGAATACGCCTGTGGAAGCACGTTGGACCAGGTCGGAAAAACTCTACGGAGCAGCTAGGTTTCTCTGCTGTGTCTCGGTCAGACGTGAATGATATCAGTGTGAGGGTTAGTGTAGTCAGAGAGTTTCCTTTTAGTCTTTTAGTGGTTTATTGTAACGAAAACGTCAGTCTGTGCCTCCAAACATGAGCTCAGGAAAGGAAAGATGATGCCAGCTCTGCATGTCTCTGTGGGTTTGGCTGTCGTGGAAAACCACAGTTTAAGGGAACTCTAGTGTCACGTCTCACATGTCATCGTCACGCGTTTTGATGTATTTAAATGAGTCGTACTGGAGGTGTTCTCAGGTGTTTTTCTTTGTCTGTTTGCAGGTATCGGCGAGATCCTGGGACCACAATGAGTTTTTCGCCCAGTTCTCAGGAGACCACACTTTACTCAACAAGGGCTACTCTGTTTTACTCCACAAACTGGCTGAAGGCCTCGACGTCCGAACAAAGTGTCCGGTTTGTATTTCAGTTTTCTTTTTAAATCTCATCCTGATCTGTTTTACTATTTCTAATTCTATTGTGGCTTGTTTAGTGCTTGAAATTATTTTTAAGTGTTTTTTTTAAAGTCATTTTTTATGATCTTTGCATGTTTTCTGATTTTAATTCACCTTGTTTAGCACTTTACTCTCTTCTTTATAATAGTAATAAACTGTATTTCTGTGGCACCTTTCAAAACTGAAGTTAAAAGGGGCTTTACAGAACGTTAAAATACACAAAATATTAGCTCAAGCATCAAACTGTACATTAATATCTACCATTGCACTGCTGTACATTCACACTGCACACTCTGTGTATAATGTAGATCATTCCCATTACACTCCAGTACATACTGTATAACCCTCCCCCTTTTTACTAAGCACAATTTGCACCACTGCACTTATTGTATATTATCCATATTTATATTAAACACTTCTGTATATTGTTACTGCTTGTTAGATGCAATCTGCATTCCGTCGCCTTGTACTTGTGACATGTGCAATGACAATAAAGTTCAGTCTAATCTCATCAAAAGAAGACAGTAAAACTTCAGCAACAGAGACTGCGACCGTAAAATGAGCAATAACGGAGCATCAGAGAAAGAATAACAGACTTTTTAAAATCTTTATTGACTTTGCGAAGCACTTTGTAGCTTTGTTTTGATGACTCCTGCACACATAAAGACATTATAAAGGTCGAGTGTGCAGGATTTAGAAGCATCTATGAGCAGAAATGGAATATAATATTCATATTTATGTTTTCATGAGTGTATATTCACCTGCCACTATGAATCAGTGTGTTTGTAATAATAATAATAATACATTTTATTTGTAAGCGCCTTTCAGAGCCCTCAGGGCACTTTACAAGAAGGGTAAAAACAACATAGTTAACAAATGACCATAAAGCAGCAGATAAAAACAACACGAAAGAAAATAAAGATGGAGAAGGCAATTCTAAACAGATGGGTTGTGAGTTTGGATTTGAAGAGAGGCAGGGAATTGGTATTACGGATATCTGATGGCATATTTTTGTTATCTTAGAATGAGCCTTTTATATCTATACAACTTGTTTCACCACCATGTTTCTGCAGTAGCCCAGAAATGGGATAAACAAACAGTGACTGTCGAGAGCGTATTTTATACTGAGTTCTGTTGGTTCGTCTGCTCAGTTGTTTGTCATTATATGTCTTTAATTTCTATGCAGTGATCCTTTATTTCCAAATATTACATTGCATTTGCGATGTTAGATTTATTAAATTATAAACAAAGACATAAAATTAAGTGTGTACTTTTCGTTTTTTTTTATATTCCAGGTTCAGGCCATTGACTACTCAGGTGACGTTGTCAAAGTTACTTCTTCTAACGGGTCCCAGTGGACGGCACAGAAGGTGAAAACTGGTTCATGGATCCACTTTTCTTTGTCATACTATATGAGTTCTATCATATATCTCATAATAAGACTTCATCCTAGAAAATGTGTGTTTCCATAGAATGTTGAATCTGTTTGTTGTTTATGGTCGTTGGTGTGTTTCAGCTTTTTTTTTTAAAGATCTTTTCCTTCTTTCTCAGGTCCTCGTTACAGTCCCGCTGACTTTACTTCAGAAGAACTTGATTCAGTTCAACCCTCCACTTCCAGAAAGGAAACTGAAAGCAATCCACAGTCTGGGAGTCGGTATCATAGAAAAGGTAGTAAACGTTTCACCGCCCTGTCTGACGCTGTAGTTACTCAGAATCTTTCATTTTAGGGGCCAAATAACAACCGTAGCCTTCTGAATTATAGAACATGGTCAGGAAGTTGCGTCCTAAATAAGATAAGCCTTTATTAGTCCCACAGCAAACAAGTGAAGAACATCAGTAGGAAAATAAAACTGCAAAAGTACATTTATGTTGTATTTAGTATGTGGAAATCCAGATATTGCACAGATTCCTCTGGATGTGGAAAATCACCATATTGCACTAATTTATATGTTGAAGAACAATAATTTTGCAGAGATTCTTTCATGAATATAAAATACTGATTTAAAAAATACT